GGTCGTCGTCGGCATTACCGTAGTTGCCGCCGCCGTGGCCGTCGTCGTCGCCGCCGTCGTCCTCGCCAATGTCGTCGTCGTCTCCGTCGTTGTCGTCGTCGTTGTCGTCGTCGTCATTACCGTCGTGGTCGTCGGTCGTCATCGTCGTCAAGGTCGTTGTCGCCGCCGTCGTCCTCGTCGTCGCCGTCGTCGTTGTCAAGAAGGACATTGTCGTCGTCAAGGTCGTCGTCGCAGGCGTCGTCGTCGTCGTCGTCGTTTCCGTCGTTGTCGTCGTCGTTGTCGTCGTCGTTGTCGTCGTCGTCGTCAACGTCATTACCGTCGTCGTCGTCGTCGTTGTCGTCGTCGTCGTCGTCTTCGTCGTGGTCGTGGTCGTCGTCGTCGTCGTCGCCGTCGTCGTCGTCGTCTATGTCGTCGCCGTCGTCGTCGTCGTCGTCGTCTATGTCGTCGCCGTCGTCGTCGCCGTCGTCGTCAAGGTCGTCGTCGTCAAGGTCGTCGTCGCCGTCGTCGGCGTCGTCGTCGCGGTTCACGTTGTCGTTCTCGTCGTCGAGGTTGTCGTTGTCGTACTCGTCGTCGTCGCCGTCGTCGTCGTCGTCGTCGTCGCCGTCAAGGTCGTCGTCGTTGTCGTCGTCGTCAAGGACTTCGTCGTCGCCGTCGTCGTCAAGGTAGTCGTCGTCGTCGTCGTTGTCGTCGCCGTCGTCGTCATCGTCGTTGTCAAGGTCGTCGTTGTCAGGGTCGTCGTTGTCGTCGTCGTCGTCGTCGTCGAAGGTCGTCGTCGTTGTCGTCGTCGTCAGGGACTTCGTCGTCGCCGTCGTCGTCAAGGTCGTCGTCGTTGTCGTACTCGTCGTCGTCGTCATCGTCGTTATCGTCGTCGTTGTCGTCGTCGTCGTCGTCGTCGTTGTCGTCGTCGTCGTTGTCATCGTCGTCGTCAAGGTCGTCGTCGTCAAGGTCGTCGTTGTCGTACTCGTCGTCGCCGTCGTCGTCGTCGTCGTTGTCGTCGTCGTCAGGGTTGTCGGTGTCGTACTCGTGGTCGTTGTCGAGGTCGTCTGCGTCGTTGTCAACGCCGCCGCCGTCGTTATCGTCGTCGTCGTCGTCGTCGTCGTCACGAACGTCGTCGTCGTCGTCGTCGTCGTCGTCGTCGTCGTCGTCGTCGTCGTTGCCGTCTTCGTCACCAGCGTCGTCGTCGTCGTCGTCGTCTTCGCCGTCGTCATCGTTGTCGTCGTTGTCGTCGTCGTGGTCACCCGCGTCGTCGTCGTCGTCGTCGTCGTCGTCGTCGTTGTCGTTGTCGTTGTCGTCGTCGTTTTCCATGTTGTCGTCGTCGTCGTCGTCAAGGTCGTCGTCGGCGTCGTCAAGGTCGTCGTGGTCGTACTCGTCGCCGTCGTCGTCGTCGTCGTCGGAGCACTGGGGGGGAGGGCCCTTCGCGCGCGGGCGGGAGGTCTACCGGAGGGCCCGGGGGCGGACCAGTGCCCATGAGGAGGCGGAGGGTCTGGCGGGGTGGGGAGGAGGAGGATGGCTGGAGTGGGGGTGTATGGTATAGTATGGGTTGGCCCGAGAGGCGAGGTCCAGCCTCGGCCCAAACTGGAGCTCCGACTCGCGATAGGTCTCACCGCCGTCGTCACTCGCTGAACGCTCGCGGGCCCTGCGCTCGAAGCCCACGGACTGCGGGGGGGTAGCTCTCCCAGAACCCGAACGCTCGCGGCGCCTCGGTGCGCCCGAAAGTTCGCCCCACCCTCGGGCTCCGCCCGTCGGCCAGAGAAGGGGGGAGGCCGGGGGGGAGCAGCAGGAGGAGTCACGAGCGCGGCCTCGCTCTGCCATCCTCGAGTCACCTTGCTTTCCTCGGTGGGGCTGCGTGAGGGGAAGAGAATTGAGGTCGGGAGGCGGTCTCGCCCTGCTGCTCATCCAGGACTGCGGCTTGCTGAACTGCGCGCGGCCTTGCGCGAGGGTGCACTGACGCTGCGGGCAGCATGTCGCTCGCACAGCATGCCTAAGAAAGAAGAGGAGGAGGAGGGTGGGCGAGGATGGAGGAGCGGAGGAGGATGGAGGAGCGGGAGGAAGATGGAGGCGCATTAGACGGTTAGCCGGGATGAGGACGAGGAGGAGCAGCAACAGCAGCTGGTGGAGCAGGAGGAGGAGGAGGAGCAGCAGCAGCAGCAGGAGCAGGAGGAGGGCGCGGGCAGCCTGGGAGCGCACAAGGTTCGGGACGCGAGCGCGCTGTCTATACAAGGAGGAGTGTGCAGCACAGCCCGGAGCCATGTGCACACCTGCAGGCTGCCCTGTACACCAGCCTGCCCTGCGACGAGCCCTCACACCCGTGACCCAGCAGGTGCACTCCTGAGTGGGCCAGAACAGAGGGCTTCTCCGCAAAGGCGCCCTCCACGACCGCGGGCGGGTACATACATGGAGAGGACGGGCGCAATCCAGGAGGAGCACGGAGGCGGCCCTGAGCCGCTGGCTCGAGAGGCAGTCACGGTGGCCATGAGACCCACCGCCGCGTTTTCGTCGTCCACCGACAGCGCGTCGACTTTCGTCGCCAGCGACGGCAGGAGGCCGACGTGGCCGCCAGCCTGGGCTCCCGAGCCAACTGTCCGTGACCACCGAGCCCGCTCCGGGCTGCCGCAGCTGCCGCCCCAGGCTCCGAGGGCGAGGGCACCAGCGCATCGGCCATCGGGGCCTACGCGCCAGGCGAGACGAGGGACGCACCTGCCGCTCCTGCTGCTGCTGCCGCCTGCACTGTGTGCTTTTGTACTCCGCCGCTGCCGCCTGAGGGTGGGCAAGGCGTCGGCCCAGCTGTCGTATTCGAGGTCAAGGTCGAGGTCGGGGGGCGCGGCCTCGGGGCAGTCAAGGCGCCATGGGCGCCAGCCGCCACCGCCGCCTCGTCCCCTGCCGCCGCTTTTCCGCCTTCCAGTGCGCGCCGCCCAGCCGGCGGCGCCGACGGCGCCGCTCCCACTGCTCCTCCGTGGCTCCGTGGAGACACGCTCGCGAGCAGCAGCCGTGGGCCCGCCGCGCTGCGCGTCGACAGTAGCATCGGCAGGTGCCCGCCGCGTCCGCCCAGCCGCGAGTGCTGTGGCGGACAGTGCGCTGCCGCGGAGCGCGCGACCGCGGCTGGAGTTCGGCGCGGCGCGCCACCGTGCACGGCCGTGCGGGCCGCCGCCGCCACGAGGGGCGCAAGGCCGGCAGCCGCCATGAAACCCCGTATACATACAAGTCGGTGCCCTGGGACGGGTTGAGTGGGATGGATACGACGTGAAGAGCCCCCTGATCTCCTTTCTCGTCACTTCCCCCCCCTCCCCTCTCGGGGCGGGCGACGGGGGGAAGTTTTGGGGAAGGGCGGGGGGGCATCCTCCAGCCACATCCCCCCAATAGCTCCTCCTCCTCCTGCCGCCCCTTTGGCTCCCCCTACCCCTCCTCCTCCTCCTCCTCCTCCTCCTCCTCCTCCTCCTCCTCCTCCTCCTTCTCTTCCTCGACTTCCTCCTCCTCCTCCTCCTCATCCTCCTCATCATCACCAGCACCAGTATCATTATAATCGTCAGCATCACATTCAAAGTCAACATCATCATCATCACCACCATTCTCAGCATTATTAACATCAGCATCAACATCCGCATCACCATCATACTCATCATCTTCATGATCATGAGCATCATCACCATCATCATCATAATCATCATTGTCGTCGGCAGCGTCATCATCGTTATCAGCATCATCATCTTTATCACCATCGTCATCATGATCATGATACTCATCAGCACCACCACCATCAGTTTCACCATCATCATCATCAACAACAGCAACCTCACCATCAGAACCAGCGCCATCATCACTTGTATCGCCATCGTTGTCAACATCAGCATCATCATCATCACCATCATCATCACTCCCACCATTGCCACCACCATTATCATCATCACCATCATTATCGTCATCGTTTTCATCATCATCATCACCATCATCAGCATCATCCTGATCAGCATAATCATCATTAGCAGCACCAACAACACCATCATCATCATCATCATCATCATCATCATCATCATCATCATCATCATCATCATCATCATCATCATTACCATCGTCATCATCAGCATCATCATCATCGTCATCGCCATCGCTATCGTCATCGTCATCGTCATTGTCATGATCACAATCATCATCCGCATCAGCATCAGCATCGTCGTCATCGTCATCGTCACCGTCTTCGTCGTCGGCATCGTCATCGGCATCGCCATCGTCATCGTTATCGTCATCATCATCATCATCATCGTCGTCGTCGTCGTCGTCGTCGTTATCATTATCAACAGTATCATCCTCAGCATCAGCGTCATTAGCAGCATCATCACCATCCTCACCATCATCGTCGTCATCATTACCATCATCACCATCATCGTCATCAGCATTGTCGTCGTTATCGTCATCGTCACCACCACCACCATCATCATCATCATCATCATCGTCGTCGTCGTCGACATCGTCATCGTCATCGTCGTTGTCATCGTCATCGTCATCGGCATCGCCATCGTCATCGTCATTATCATGATAGTCATCATTTTCAACAGCATCATCATAATCAATATTCGCATCAACACCACCATCACCATCATCATCGTCATCATTACCATCGTCGTCATCATCATAGTCATCATCATCATTATCGTCGTCATCCTCGTCGCCATCCCTTGTCTCCGTCATTAGCCTCATCACCACCACCATCATCAGCACCACCACCACAGTTATCATCATCGACACCTTCATCATCATCACCACCAGCATCATCACCAGTACCATCATCGTCATCATCATCATCATCACCATTATCATCATCACCATCATCATCACCATCATCATCACCGTCATCACCGTCATCACCGTCATCATCATCACCATCATCATCACCGTCCCCCAGCTTCCCCCAGCTTCCTTCTCTTTCTCCAGCCTTGTTTCCCCGGGCAGCCCCCGCCGCAGCGATCTCGGCCCCCGGGTTTTTCTGCCGCTCGACAGCCTCGGCCCGCCGCCGGCCGCCTCCAGGCTGCCAGCGCGAGCAGGAGGCCCGCCCAGACAGCTTCCCGGGGGCGGGGCAGCACGGTCGATCCCCAGACCTCTTCGCTTTGTGAGATAAGGCACGACGGACGTTGTCGTTGATTTTTCGGGCTCTGGGGGCCCTCGCGGGGCTCTTGGGATGTAGCACGCGTCCCAGGGAAGGGGCCGAGTCCTGTGAGGGTCCACGTTTGGGAGCAAAAACGTGTGCCGTCGGGGGTCTGGGGCGCAGGCTCGCAGGCTTCTGCTTGGGGGTCCGTCTCCGCCGGGGAAGCTGTGCCGCCACCACTGTTGGCCGGGGCCCGTCCCCGGGCTGGGGGGGTGTACAGACCCTCACATGGTGGAGGCCCGGAGGTTACGTACACGAGCCCAGGGCCCACGATGGCCCCGGCCCTGGGGCGGGGCTGGTGCATGGCTGCCTTCTGCGGGGCCACCCGCGCGGGCGCCAATCCGACCACGCCTCGCGCTTCGCTCCGTCTCGGCCACAGGGCCGTCCTTCTCGTCGGGGCGGCGCGGGGGAGCGAGGGCGCGAGGTCAGCTGGGCCGTGTTCGTTCGGTAGCAACGCATGGGAGCCTCATGCGTCTTCGCGATTCCATCTGCAGAACTCCTTCGCGTGCGCTGGCGTCGGTGGCCGATGTAGTGTCGATGAGCGTTGATCCAGCGCCAGTCTGGCGTCGACTCGATCCGCGAGGGCCAGCAAGATGGCATGGGAGGCGCCCGTGACCCGGCCACCACAGGTCTTCGGGATGCTGAGGGTCGGCGCTCTCGGGAGAGGGGGGGCGCGCCGATCTCGGCCGCGCGCGGGGCCGCCGGGTTGGCCGCGCCTTCCCCGCTCCTCGCTCTCTGCGAGCGCCGCCGGCGTAGAGAGTTGTATCCCGTGCTCGGGCGTTGCGTACAGTCGGGTCGAGAGGTATGAGATCGATTTTGGTTCGGGGAGGGTGCCCTAATGTTCTCCGTATGTGTTGGCTGTTCCTGTGCATCCTGGGGAGGGCTCCCTAGGATGTGCTGCGTGTTTTGGCCGACGGAGAGTCTCATGCTCTTGAGGGATGGTCTTATGGCCCAGGTCCGACTGCAATGAGGGGGCGATGAAGGAGGGGGAACTGAAGACCTGTGCCCCGCTTGGATGGGGAAGTGAAGAAGGGTGCCCCACTAGTTTTCGTTTTCCTGGTGTCTGTTTTGTTGTCTTCGTCCCTGCTGTCCTTCCCGTTCCTCGCTTGCAGATTCCCCTGACGTCTGCTGGCACATGTTTTCATTTCCACTGGCGAGCGCGCTCTGGCTGCTAGGCTGGCCAACGCCCAACGGCAGCGCACTGTATAGGATGCAAACGACGCTGTCCCGCGCAGAGGATGCCCAAAGCTTGTGAGCGATCCCGCGGATACGGAAGCCATCGAACCTCATGATTCTGTTAGGATGCTTAAGATTTCTGGGGTGCCAATCCCAGAAACCATCAGATATGACTTCACTCGGATGCTTGGGATTCCTGCTATGTTCCATTTTCCGACAATAGTCAATTCAGCGGGTTCGCGACGTCAGGGAAGCCCAAACCCTGACAGCCCCAAATTATGCCTTCACTTGGATTTTGGTCTCATGGGGTTGTCCACCCTCCGGCAGCAATTTGCTCTGGAGCCCCCCCCCAAGGCTCTGACCGCGAAGAATCCCAATGAATTCGCAGGGTTCGCGACGTCAGGGAAGCCCAATCGCTATGATGCCATTCGGATTTTTGGAATTCTGAACCCTGGAGGCTCCAATACAGGTTTGTTCGGAGGTGGTGTGGGGGTGAGGGAAAATCCCAGAATTTCCAAGCATGCCAGTGAAGTCATTTGGTTTCTAGGAGGACAACGTAGCACACCGGGAATCGGACGCATCCCAGTGCCATTCAGGGAGTGGTCTGCCTTGGCGCCGCGAATCTGGTGAATTCATTGGGGCGCTTGGCACTCGGAGCCCTGGGGGACTCCAGGGTGATTTTTGTTGCCGAAAGGCGGAGAACCTGAGAAATCCCACAAACTGCAATGATTGGGTTCGGGCTTTCCTGACGTCGCGAACCCTGTGAACTCATAGGGGTGCTTTGCATTCGGCGCCCTGGGGAGCTCCAGAGTCCTTTTGTCTGAGTGTGGAAAACCCTGGAAACTCCAACCGTTCAAATGAAGTCAACTGGTTTGGGCACGAACGCCCCAGAAATCCCACGCACCCCCGTGGAATTGCAGGGTTTGGCTTCCCTGGCGTCGCGAACCCGTTGAATTCATTGGGACGCTTGGTATTTGGAGCCCTGGGGGGCTCCAGGGTACTTGCTCATTGGAGGGTGGCAAACGCTAGGAATCCCAAGCGTCCCAGTGGGAAGGGAGGGAGGGAGGGAGGGACATCATGTACTTTGTCTGGGGTTGGCACCCCAAGAAGTCCTAGGCATCCCCGTGCAATCACAGGGTCCGATGGCTCCGCGTGCCCGCGGGATGGCCCACGAGCTTTAGGCTGCGTCAGCGGGTTGCATGTAGAGAGAGCGCGAGCGAGAGAGAAAGAGAGAGACAGAGAGAGGGAGAGAGAGAGAGAGAGAGAGAGAGAGAGAGAGAAAGAGGAGAAGATAGAGAGAATGAGGGACATACATACATGGATAGAGAGAGAGAGGGGATGGATAGGGAGAGAGAGAGAGAGAGAGAGAAAGAGAGACTGAAACAGAGAGAAAGAGAGAGAGAGAGAGAGAACGAGAGAGAAAGAGAGATCGAAAAAGAGAGAGAGAGAGAGAGAGAGAGATAGGGGGGACAGGGAGGTAGAGGGGAGAAGGCACGCTAGGTACGTTCGCGCCTCATCAGACATCCTATCCCTCCCTCCCTCCCTCGCGCTGTCACAGCCTACCGACAACTCTAGCCAAATACGTCCACGTGAGGATAGGAACTTCGTGCACAGGAGGAGGAGGAGTTGGTGGGTGACCAGGGGGATGAGCGGGAGGACAAGGACGAGGACGAACACCAGCAGGAGGACCAGGGGAATGCGCAGGACTGGAAACGAGGGGGGGCGACATCAATGAAGAACGATTCGGGCCAGAAAAGAGGCCCGCGCGGAGGCGACAGCGCTTTTCTGAACGACGGGAGTAAATCGCCGATCAGAAACTTAGGCCCACGCAGCAGCGGCAGCACCATCTTGGAACACCGAGAACAATCGGATTGTAAGGAACCCATGAGAACAACCGGTAAGTCAAATCTTGTGTGCGTCAAACAACAGCACGCGAAGCGGGCCCGGCATCTTCCGTGCGGGGTCAGGGGAATGAGGAGAGTAGTATCCATCTTGTTGAATTGTAGAGCGTGGGGAGAGAGAAAGAGAGAGAGAGAGAGAGGGAGTGGGAGAGAGAGAGAGAGAGAGAGAGAGGGAGAGAGAGGGGTTTGGTAGAGAGAAGGGAGAGAGTCAGAGAGAGAGAGAGAGAGACGGGAGAAACGAGAGAGAGAGAGAGGGAGAGAGAGAATGAGAGATAGAGAGTAAAGGCGACGGGAATCTGAGGGAGAAATGGGGAACGAGAGGAGGACGAAGCAGGAGTGAGCAAAAAGAGGAAGCGGATTGATGAGGAGAAGGAGGACGATACGGGGAAACGCGCGGGGATCATACAACGGAGGAAGGACAACGAAGAAAACAAAGTCATGGGATCGATCCAGACATCGAGGACGATAGCTGAAATTATCCTGAGGGGGATCGGATGAGGGAGAGCAGGGGTGCGAGCGTAACACACTGCGTTTAGGCGGGCGATGGGGAAGATGGAGAAACACGAGTATCAACATCAAGAGTAGAGGCAGCGAGAACGGACAGTAAGGAAGACGCGAACAGCGCGAACCAACCATAGGACATAAATGGGTGCGGGGGAGTGGAGGCGAACACTTAATTAGGTCTCTTAGCTTGCATGGGAGCGTGCATGTACGTACGTATACAGTCATGCATGCATGCACGCACGCATATATGCATATGGGTATGTATGTACGCATGTCTGTGATAGTCATGCATGCATGCATACATACATGTCTGCATTTATGTGTGCATGCATGCATGTCTGTATGTATGTATGTATGTATGTATGTATGTATGTGTGTATGTGTGTATGTGTGTATGTATGCATGTGTCTGAATGAGTGTTTTTGTATGCATGCGTGTTGCATGCATGCATGTATGCGTATATGCATAAATGCGTAGATTCACTTATGCATGTATGTTGGCAGGCATGTATGTAGGTATGCATGTGTGTATATGTGTGTACATAGACAGGTAGGTATGTGTTTCGGTATGCCTGTACGTATGCATGTAAGTATGTGCCCACGTATGTATGCACGCATGTATGTATGTACGTACGCCTGCTTGTATGTACACATGTGTATGTATGTGTGTATGTAAGTATTCGTGTATGTGTGTTTGTACGTATGTATGTAGGTATGCGGACATACATGCATTCATGCATGCATGCATGTATGTATGCTTGTCTGTGATTATGTGGGTCTGTACGTGTGGATGCATGCGTGCACGTGTGATTGCATGTGTGGTTATATATATATATATATACATATGTATGGCATAGCAGGGCGCCACGCCTGCAGCACACGCACGCAGGTGGTGTGCGCACGTGCGCGGGAGAGCCTCGGGCGCTCCCGCGCACGTGCCCACCCCCGTTTCTTGTTGCTGCCCTCCAGCCCGAGAGGGAACGGCGCGAGCCGCTTGCCCGCTCGGACGTCCGACCGGCGGTCCGCATCTGTGTGTGTGTGTGTGTGTTTGTCTGTCTGGGTGGGCTTCTCGCACCCTCTCTCTCTCTCTCTCCCCCCCTCTCTCTCTCTCTTTTCCCACTTGTTTTGTCCTATCTCTCTCTCTCTCTCCCTTTCGCTCTTCCTCTCTCATTCTCGTTCTCTATCTCTATATCTCTCTTTCTCTCTCTCTCTCTCTCTCTTTCTTGTTCTCTCTCTCTATTTCTTGTTCTCTCTCTCTTTCTCTCTCCACTCTCTCCCCTCTCTCTCCCCACTTGTTCTCTCTCTCTCTCTCTCGCTCTCCTAGTTCTCTCTCTCTCTATCTCTCTTTCTCTCTCTCTCTCGCTCTCCCCATCCCTCTCTCCACTCTCTCTCTCTCTCGTTCTAGTTCCCTCTCTCTCTCTCTCTCTCTTTTTTTTGTTCATTCTCTCTCTCTCTCTATTATCTCTCTCTCTGTACATATATATATATATATGTATATATGTGTATGTACGTGTGTCCCTCTCCACCCTCGCCCTCTTTTCGTCTCTTCCCCTCCTCCCTCCCCCCGTCTTCCGCCCTCCCCGATCTCCCGCCCTTTCTCGAATCCTTCCCGCCTGTCCCCTGTCCACCAGCGCCACCGCCGCCCGTCTTCCACATGTCTCTTCCGCCCCCCGATCAGTCCTTTCTGTTTTTGTCCGTCGCCCACCCTGTTGCGGGTTGCGCCATGCCATCGGCTGCGCCGAAGCGTGCGCCGTCCATGGGTTGTGCCACCCCTTGGCTGCGCCACGGGTTCTGGGCTGCGCCGCCTCTGGTTGCGCCCCTGGGTGGTGCCAACCATGGTTTGCACCCGCTGGCGTGTGCCTCAGGTTGCACCATCCATGAGTGGCGCCATAGGTTGCCCGTTCCAGGGGGTGCCTCACGGGATGCACCGTCGGGTTCGCCAGTGGGCTGCGCCATTCATGGATTGCGTCATGCATTCTGCGTTACTCCATGCCTACATTAGTTCCGCCGCCGGCTGCCGGTAATACATCTGCCTGCAACTTGCTGTGCCATAGGATGCCTTGGGTGCTGGAAACTCAACCAGCTCAACCTCGTGTTCGCGGTGGGTTTCCTCGTTGTGAAGATCACCTTTCGTCGTTCTCTTCTTCTTTGAGTGTTCACAACTGTTCATGTTCACCTCCCCGCCCCTCCCCATCACCAGGCATGGCGGACAACGAGGGGCCGAGGGGTCAGCCCCTGCAGATAGTGAGGCTGAACGTGAAAGAGAAGACCGCCGAGGTGGACGAGGACTGCCCAGGGTTGTGGTCGTCGTCGCCGTCATCATCGTCGTCGTTGTCGCCGCCGTTGTCCTCGGACCAAGGACCCGCGCGGTCAGCCAGTATGCCTCGGCGTCGATTGGAGGGGCTCAGAAAGAGGGGGGGCGCGTGAATTGGGCGGCTGGGGCCCCCATGGAGAACAGATGGGGCGTTAGGCCTCCAGGAGGCCCCCCTAAAGGGCCCAGCAAGACATTTCTCTTGAAGGGTCCGAATGGGTCGACGCCCGACCGAGTTGCTTTGTACAAGCTTTGCTCAGGACAGTCGTAGGTCGCAAAGGGAATTGCAAGGCGGGCGCCAGGGTGAGGGAGGGCAGACGCCTTCTGCGGATGTGTTTCCGGACGCCCGCGTCTGTTCTCACGGAAAGGGCAGTCGCACACTGTGCGCACACAGTCATTTCTGGCCCGCCTCTCTGTCTCTACGGCTCGTCAGGGGACTCTTGAAGATAGTGATGCATCCGAGCGTGTCGCGCCTCTGCTCCATCCGCCCCCCCCTCCCCCCCGCCTCCTCTGCACCTCTCCGCCCCTCTTCCCCCCCTTCCCCGCTCCCCTCGTGGGCGAACCGGTTGCTCCGTATTCGCGGCCCAGCGGGTCGGGCCGCCCTTGGGGGAGGCAGGGCGTTTTTTTGTTGTTCCCAACCATCCTGTGATGTTGGGTCCTCGTTTTGAAGAGACAGCGCCCCGCGTCCCACCTTCCTCCTTCCTCCTTCTCCCCCTCTCCCCTCCTCCCCACCCCCCCTCCTCCTTCCTCCCCATCCTTGCTTCGTTTCGTAGCCCCATAGGGAGCTCCACCGTAGGCCCCGGTGGGGGTGCCCGCATGTGGTTCCCCCACCCAGGGCAGCGTTTCTTGGCCCCACAGGGAGCTCCACCGTAGGCCCCAGTGGGGGTGCCCGCATGCGGTTCCCCACCACCACCACTGTGGCAGGCCCCTCACACAGTTCGTGGCCCCATAAGGAGCTCCACCGAGGACTATATTCACAACACAACTGCGGTACTCACAACTGCATGTGGTTGGGTCCTTCGCCAGGCTAATTTCTTTTTGTTTTGTTTATTCGAAGGGACGGAACGCATCCGTGCGACGGCGCATCCTCGGGATCGCGCCCCAGATTCCAGCGACGGAGCGGATACGGATACGTTCGCCGCTCGTGATCCTCCCCGCCAGGGCTCTCCAGTGAGAAACTTCCGCGCGCAACCGCCAGTCTGGGAGTCCTCTGGCGCGACCGCCACGGCCCGCAATCTTCCCTGTAGACAGTGCCGAGGGGGGGGGCGCGACCGGGGCCTCGTTTTTCCCAACCATCCTGTAGTGATCGGCCCCGGCCCCTGCGTATCAATCTCACCATCATCATCATCACCACCATCATCATCATTATCAGCATCACCATCATCACCATCATCATCAGCATCAGTATCATCATCATGATCATCGTCGTCGTCGTCGCCATCATCTGCATCGTCATCATCATCATCATCCTCACCATAATCCGCATCATCATCGTCACCCTCATCATTATCATCATCAGCATCAGCCGCAGCATCATCATCATCATCATTGACATCATGATCATCAGCATCATCATCACCATCATCATGATGATGATGATCATCATCATCATCCGCATCGTCATTACCATCAGCATCATCATCAGCATCAGCATCAGCATCATCATCGTCACCAACATTGTCATCATAACCATCATAATCACCATCACCATCATCATCGTCGTCATCGCCATCGTTGCATGATCCTCATAGGCATCATCATTATCATCATTATCAAAATCATCATCATGATCACCATCAGCAGCATCATCATCACCACCATCATCATCAGCAGCATCACCATCGTCACCATCATCATCAGCATCAGTATCATCATCATCGTCGTCATCATCCGCATCGTCATCATCCACCTCCTCACCATCATCCGCATCATCATCGTCACCCTCCTCATCATTATCATCTTCAGCGTCAGCATCATCATCATCATCATCATCATCATCATCCGCATCGTCATTATCATCATCAGTATCAGCATCATCATCATCATCTTCATCATCACCATCGTCACCATCATCGTCACCATCATCGTCATCATAACCATCATACTCACCATCAACATCATCATCGTCGTCATCGTCATCGTTGCATGATCCCCACAGTCATTACCAATCTAATCATCAACAGCAGCATCACCATCATCATCATCATCATCATCATCATCATCATCATCATCATCATCAAAATCGCCATCGCCATTGCCATCACCATCGCCATTCACGTGATCATCATCCTTTTCATCACCATCATCGTCATCATCAGCGTCACCGCCTTCATCATCGCCATCATCGTCATCGACTTCAGCTCTGGCACGCCCGTCACACGTTTCACGGCCCCATCGGGGGCTCCACCTAAGGCTGCAATGGCTTCGTTCGCATGCCGCCCCTCACACGTCACGTGGCCCCATAGGGAGCTCCACCGAAGGCCCCAGTGGCTGCGTTCACATGAGCCCGCCGCACCAATTTCGGCAAACCCCTCACACGTCTCGTGGCCACATCGGGAGCTACACCTAAGGCTCCAGTGGCTGCTTTCGCATGCTGCCACCTCCCTCATCTTGGCACACCCCTCACACGTTTCGTGGCCCCATAGGGAGCTCCACCTAAGGTCCTAGTAATTGCGTTCGCGCTCAACCCCCCCTCACGTTGGCACACCCCTCTCACGTCTCGTGGTCATATAGGGAGCTCCACCTCAGGCCCCAGTGGCTACGTTCGCATGCCGCCACCCCCCTCACCTTGGCACACCCCTCGCATGTCTCGTGGCCCCATAGGGAGCTTCACCTAAGGCCCTAGTGGCTGCGTTCGCATGCCGCCACCTCCCTTACTGTGGCACACCCCTCACAAGCTTCGTGGCCTCATGAGGGAGCTCCACCGAAGGCCCCAGTGGCTCCGTTAGCATGCGCCCGCCGCACCAATTTCGGCACAACCCTCGCACATTTCGTGGCCCCATAAGGAGCTCCACTGATGACAATATTAACAATTGCGTTATCCACAGCTGCATACGGTTGGGTCTTTCGCCGTGGGTCGAGGACGACCCGAGCTCACAAGCCCAGCCTCCTTAAGTTGCCCAGCCTCCACCAGACCAGCTTTCCCGAGGCCTGAGCATGGAACATCGAGCTTGATCCTGTTTTTGTTGTGATTTCCGACGCCTGGCTGGGGGCCGCTTGCGGGCCTTGGGACCTCGAGGGGCTTGGTTACAAGTGACAAGGGGTTCCGGAGCAGGGATTAGTTTTTGCGGCTCCAGGACGCTTCTCGTGGCCACGGCCGCCTCGCCCTCGAAACACTCTGACCAGAACGTGCCCCAAGGCAGGCACGCGGATCGAGTACGACCGAGGATTGAGGTTCGGATCGTCGCCACAGCTGGGTATGCCTCGAAATTCTGGCTGGAACGTTGCACCCCAGGTCCAGGGACCGATTTCTCTCCCCCGAGCCGAGACCTCCAACGTCTTGGACAAATCAAGGCGAGTATTTTCGCTCCATCTGGGCCCCAGAGGCTTTCGTTCCGGGCCCCGGGGCCGTCACAACGAGGGACCAGCCCCTTGGAAGGGGCCGAGAGCTCTGGAACCTCCGCTTGGGTCAAATCAAGATGTCGTGGGTCTGGGGACGCAGGGCACGACCAGATTTTCAAAGATCTTCGGGGGGTCTTGGGGGAACCTGCGGGCCTCGGGATGCTTTCCATCGGCTGCGACTTCTCGACAGCCATGATCGTGCTGATCGGCCGCCTCAGAACCAAACCCTGGCCCGAAGACCATATCTCAAGGGGTCGCAGCAGAAGTCGCGACGGCCATGATTTCTCAGGCCTGGGATTCCACAGGCTTTTGCGGGGGCCGCTTGCATTTATTTCTGCAGTCTGTACACCTGCTATAACTTCATACTTCCCACATCTACATCTTGCGCTTTGCCACTGCGACTCTTGACGCATGCGCGGCTACATCCTTTGCTGTGTATGCCGCATCTTATTGGCATTGTTTTCGCATAGTTACCGTTGCCACCTGTGACAGGCTCGATTTCGGGACCCCGGACCGCCACCGCGGACGGCCCAGGATGCGAGACCCGGTCGGGGAGGCGAGGTCGAGGGCTCTGGGGTCCACGCGCCAAACATCCCCTGACATCCGACGCTGCGTTCGGTCCAACACGGAGGAGCGCGAGGAGGAGGAGGAGGAGGAGGAGGAGGAGGAGGAGGAGGAGGAGGAGGAGGAAGGCGAGGCGGAGGAGGAGAAGGAGGAGGAGGGCGAGGAGGAGGAGGGAGGGCGAGGAGGGGAGGATGAGGAGGAGGAGGAGGAGATGAGGAGGAGGAGGAGGAGGAGGAGGACGAGGACGCGGAGGAGGAGGAGGAGGAGGAAAAGGAGGGAAGTATGAGGGGGGACGGGGAGCGAATGGGAGAAGGGGGGGCGGGAGGCAAGCTGGGCCCCCTCTCGCCACATCTGGCATCTTGTCCCTCCCACCCATCCCTTCCCATTGCGCCGATTTGCTTCTGCGTCCGCCGACGGGTGCGATAGCGGACCTGGGACTCTCCAAAGGACCCCGGCGCGTTACGCGCCATCAGACAGGCCAGGGGGGGCTATGCACACTGGGGGCGGAGAAGAAGACCTACGAGTAGGAGAGGGGGAGGGGAAGGGGGGGGGGGAGATGACGGGGAGGCGAGTGGGGCTGGGGCTCCTCCTTGCCCCGCCCCCCCCGCAGCGGCCAAGCCCTGGAGCCGCCCCGCCTTGTCCCGCCCGCGAGGATGCGCTCGGCCGCCTGGAGAAGCGGCTGCGGGAGTGCGGCCACAGCAAGGTGGCCGTGGTGTCCGTCATGGGGGCGTTCCGCACCGGCAAGTCGTTCCTGCTGGACATGTTCCTCCGCTACCTCCGCTTCGAGGAGGACCCCGGGGGAGCCCCCCCGGGGGAGCCCCCCAGGACGAGACGCTTCGCTGCCGCGGCCCCGCCCTCGCCACCACGGCCGGGGAGTCGCTTCGAGATTCTGGTCGGAACGCGCACCCGGAGAGGCCTGTGGAGCAGCGGTGTGGGTGTCTTTTTGTCAAGGGAGGAGATGCCCCGACCTATTCAGACCTCTGTTCGGAAACTGGAACGTATACATTACCAGTGGCGGGCTGTTTTTAGGGTCGGGGGCGACGTCGGGGCGGTGTGGTGTATACTTGTTTCCCTGTTTTCCCAGAGAAACAACGAAACACGCATACACCAGGATCCCGTATACATCAGGATCCGTTTTCTTGTGCGCGTTTCAATGCGGGGCAGGAAACAAGCATCGGTGTATAGAGTTCGGTTCCCTATCTGTTGTGTTCCTCCGGACTCCTTGGCCTGGGCGCTCGGACGTCCTGCAGAGGAGTACCTATTGCTCCTCTCCCCTCCCGTTCTCGGCCAGGGCGGCCTTCTCTGGCCCTCGTGCCCCGTGGGTCTCGGGTCGATAAGCGTGTGGAAGTCGATTAATGGAGAGGAAGCATGCTGCCAACCATGTTTCAAACATGTTTTGAACATGTAGTAACATGTTGAAATATGGCTAGAACATGCTTTACACATTTTACACTCATGCTTCAATCAATGATCGGATTGTTAGAGTGTCCATTGTCAGGGTACCCACAAGGATAAGCCAAGGTTGCCTCATCAGTTGCCCGATCGAAACCAGGGACCCCCGATTCCACTGACCAAGCTCTGCGGCGAAATCCGAACACTACCCTCGCAGATCAACGACTGAGGCGACTCGATGGGCCGCGGAGGTAGGGTTCGGAATTCGTCGAACACGTGGCGAACCGAACCCTACCCCCACCTCCCATCGATAAGAGGAGCAAGAGATCCTGATAATGGTACATGCCAGGACTTTGGGGCTTCCAAGATTCCGGAATGTTCCACACGGGCTGCAGAAACGAGAGCCGCTAGATAATCTGGAACTCTTGAAACGTCTCCTGAGCCAATCCTATCATGACGTCATTATCCTCCGAATCGACTCCGAGGAAACGATGGTTTGTGGGGGTAGAGTTTGGGAGCCGCCGCCTACAGGCCAGCTCCCCAGATCTCCGACGCTAGCTATTGTTTCGATGCGGGTGCCGCGGGCGGCTATTGGGACCCTCCTGGGCACTTTGAGGCGGCTCTCGGCGCCCTCCTGGGCCGCCTGGGAGTGAGAAGGACTCGTGGAGGGGTGCCAAGCCAAAAGTCACTAAACATTGAAGCGATTAAAGCAGCACCTTGGACTCTGACGAATCTCACTCCTCCCACCGTCTCCTCCTGAGACCTGGGACCTGGGCACAGTGAACAAATCACGACTGGCTTTTCTGGGGCACCCCAGGCCGTCACGCAGGACCGTCACGGATATATCCAGCTCGAGAAATGACGCTTAGTGATGGGGTCGAGGGCTCCCCGCGTGCGTCTCAACGATGTTGTGTGTGAGTGCGCGGTTTTTCCTCAACGTTGGCCCCCTCACGGGTGAGAGAGGATAAGGATGGGCCGCCAATTCTGCACATGCGCCACATGTTGCCATGCCCATCTTGGGTCTGGCACCTTGTCCGCACATAGTTTGCCTTGGCGTGCGCCGAAGAAAAAGAGCTGCAGGAACATCAACTTCTGGTGCTCCGCGCGGATTTCCTGGATCTGCACTGGGCTCCCCTGGCGGCGCCTCTAGCGCCGCCCCTGGCGCGCTCGGCGCGCCGGGGAGGGGGGCCCCGCGCCGATCCAGGGAATCCGCGCGAAGCTCCAGATTTTTTTATTTATATATATATATATATATATATATATATATATATAAATATATTCAAGTTGTTTGTTCCTCTACGTGGGCCGTGTTCGGTTGGTTTTCTGGGGCCCTGCCCGCGAGCGTTCCAGGACGCCACAGGGCGGGGGCGGGGTCTCCAGATCCAGCAAGCGCTGGCCAGTGGCAAGCCCCTGGATGGTGTTCCAGTCCCAGTGGCAAGCGCTGGCCAGTGGCAGCCAGTGTCATTCCAGCAAGCACGGGCAGGTGGCAAGCCCCAGATGGTGTTCATGCGGTCACACCGAGCCCCGCTCGTCGTCCATGATTCGTTCATGGATTGGTTGGGATGGTCGATCTGTGCCCTCATCTTCCAAGGGGGCGGGTTCGGCTCAGCGGGTGTGGCGAGTGTCTCACACAGGAGCGCGGCCCTGCCAAGATCGTGGACGCGCCGACCCGCTCGAAGGAGACCCCCTTCCCGCTCCCGGACTGGATGACCTCGGCGGGCTCCCTGCTGGAGGGCGCCGGCGACCGTAAAGGCTCACGGGCACGATCGTAGGAGAGCCCCTATTGAAGCAGGCAGGCCCCGAGGGAGACGGGTTCCTCAAGGTGTTCCGCCGTCTTCGGGGTCGGGGCCTCTCTTGGCCCAGGGGCCCTCAGGAAAAAGACTCGGGAGGTCCCGGGGGAAGGACCTGGGGTCTGGGACCCGCTTCCCCCCAGGACCCGTTTGCTTCCAGGGCTTTGCATGCACGTGATCAGTAGGCAGGTTGGCTCAGAAGAGTCCCGCAAGGGACGAGACGTCAGCCCGATACTTGCAGCATGCTTGCATCACAAGGCTTTCATCGTCCGGCGTGATTGTCTTGACTTGCTCGGGGGAAGGCCCCGGGGTCTGGGACCTGTTTGCCGCAGGCCCCGTTCCCAGCTGCCCCCGCGGCAGACGCGTGGGAGGTGGAGGCGCGTGTCGCCGGCAGGTGCGGGACATCGGGCGGGCCGTCGGCGGGCCCCCAGTCGGGCCCCCAAGCTTTTTGGTCACGCCGCGCGGCAGCCGTGCTCCCGCAGCGCGTCGCCTGCGGCGGCGTCTCGAGCTGTGCGCTGCAAGCAGCGGCGGGGCCGCCCGGCGGGTCGCCGGGTGGCGGGCCGCGGGGCGGGCCGCGTGGGCGGGCCGCGTGGGCGGGCCGCGTGGGCGGACCGCGTGGGCGGGCGGGCCGTGCGCGGCGGGGCGGGGCGTGCGGCGGGGGCGCGCGGCGGGGCGTCGGCGGGGCGCGCGGCGGGGAAGCCGGGCGGCGTCGCAGCGCGGGTGGCTGGCGCGGATCGCACGGGGGGGGGGGGGGGGCTCGGCGGCACGGGGGGTGCGGCGGGCGCGGGTCTCGGCTGGGTCGTCGGCAGGCTGGACGGCGGACGGCGAGCGGCTCGTGCGGGGCGGCGACAGCGACAAGGATATTGCAAACAACACGAGAACACACGCACACACATACATACACGCGCACACACACACAGACACACAGACACACAGACACACAGACACACAGACACACAGACACACAGACACACAGACACACAGACAGACACACGCACTCGCGCGCGCACACACAATCACACACTGCGGAACCCCGCGTCGGCCAGCAGTTGTCGATCATGGACGGCGTCAGATCGTTCGGATCGCCTGGCTCTGGCCTGCTCATCCCTGCTACCCCCTTCTCACCCTCTTCTCCTTCTCTCTCTCTCTCCTTCTTGCTCTCGATGCCATCCTCCCTCCTACCCCCCCCAATCTCCTCCGCCGCCTCGCCCTCAGCCTTCTTCCCTTCTCTTCCTCCTCCCTCCCTCCCTGCTTGATCCCTCCGTCCCTCCCTCCCTCCCTGCCCTCCCGCATCGCACCCTCCTTTCCTTCTCTCCCTCATCCCTCCCTCACTACTTGATCCGTCCCTCCCTCCCTCCCTCCTGCTTCGCAACTTCTCAACTCCTTCCTCTCCTTGCTTGTACCCCTGCTCTGCTTTCCTCCATCATGACTCCTCGATCCCACCCTGACTTCCCCCTCCTACGCACAAGGGGGGAGGGGAGAGGGGGGGGAGGGAGGAAGCAGCAGATCCGCGCCAGGGGGCTTCAGCTTCAAGGGTGGCATGGACGCTGTCACCGAGGGAATCTGGGTGTGGTCCGAGCCCTTCACGCGCACCGTAGAGGAGCCGACCAGATCATCTTGACCTCCCTCGACGCTGCCCATTTGTGGTTGGTTGTTTCCCTCGACGTTGGCCCCGTGCTGTCGCGATCGATGAGCCTTACGCAATCAAAGGTGCGCAAGGTTCACGTCACCTCGACGCGGTGGCGTCGCTGGCGCGAGCGTTCAAGGTTGAGCTTCTTCGTGTAGCGCCCCCCCAGACTACCATCGACAAACTAATACGGAACGGAATACATATGACATATATGAGGCAACGCCCACGTCGTCAAGGCAGGAACTTGCGGTACCCTTACTTGCTCTCATTCCCTTGTTTTCAGCATCGCGCGTCATGTGGCAAGGTTGTGGCGTGCTTCCCTCGTCAGATCCTTATCCTCTCGTATGTCATCAGGCTTCGGCCGCGACTGAACACATAGTCTCGAACAGGAGCGTCCGTCGTAGGTCGAGAAGTTGAAATTGTCCATTGGTCGGTTCCCCCCTTCGCCAGATTCAAAGCGGCTCCAACTAAGGAGAATGGCACCAAGACAAAAGTTGCACTCATCCTCATGGACACACAGGGCGCATGGGATGGCAACATGACGAAGGAGCAGTCGGCAACCATCTTCGGTCTCACGGCCGTGCTTTCGTCCAAACAGATCTACAACATCAACATGCAGGTGCAGGAGGACAAGGTCGAGAACCTTGCATTCTTCATGCGCTTCGCCCAGGCGGCGAGCCCGAAGTCGGACGCACGCCCCCCCCCGCTGTTCTCCCATCCCTCGCCCTGGTCATCCTCTTGCCCCCCATCACATCCGACGTGATGACTTGTGGCAGCCTGGGATCCGGGCCCCCGTCTCGGCGGCACGCCCCGGGGGAGGGACAGGCATAAGGGCCCGGCCTCCTCGGCAGGCGGCGGGGTTCCCCACAGCCCACGGACCCTCACCAGCCTGCTGCGACGCCGCCCGCGTGGCCTCGGAGGAGGCCCAGAGCAAGCAGTGGCGAAGCGCCCCGGCTCGCCGACAGCCCTACCAAGCGATGTTCCAAGCACCTCTCGTGGTTTCCGCGAAAGGTTCTTGGAACATTTCTGGCGGAGCCTGTCTTCTCTTATCACATCGGGCTTATGTTCTAAGAGCACTGCTTTTGTTCTTAGAACGTTTTTTGGGTTCTAAGAACACCTCGTGGTAGGGCTGCAGGGATGCCGGGACGGTCGGTCCCTGCTCAACCAGAGGGCCTCTGGGCATGCCGGCAGGCTCTTTCGAGGGGCCCCGCCGCCCCGCGGAGGAGGCCGGGCCCCCCCCCCCCCCTCCGCGCTGCCCCCCGGGAGGCGCGCCGCGGGGCACCCTCGGGCGCGCGTCCCTCGAGGCCTCGGGCGTCCGGGCCCCCGGGGAGCCCTCCTCGGCCGAGGGGTCCCTCGAGAGGGCTTCTCTCGGAGGTCTCCCGCGTTTCCGCGGGCGCGGAGAGGCCACGGGGTCCCCCGGAGGGGTCTCGCCGGGCACGCCTCTCAGCCAGCGGCCCCATGCACGAAGGAAACGGGTACGGAGAGAAGGGGCACAATGCCCAACAGCAGTGCCTGTTCATTCTGGACGGGACTCGCTGTCCGCGCCGCCGCGGCCTGTGTCCATTTGAGACAGCAGGCCGCCTACCCAACAGCGGCCGCTGCTGGTGTGGGACAACATTTGTTTTTGGGCATTGTGCCCATCTTTCGTATATGCCCATTTGGGGCGTCCAGAGCAGGGGCCCAGGAGTGGGGCCTTCCCTGCAGCAAGGATGCCAGGCCTCCCCAGCGGGGTCCGGTCGGGGGAGCGGAAGGCCCGAGCACACCGGGCCTCGGGTTTGCCAAAACGCTTTTTTTGCGAGCTCGTCCCGGATGTGACGATCCAGTTTTCGTGGGGTATTTGCAGAGCGAGCCCGCGTTTTTTTTCAGACTGGGTCTCCTCATTTTCATGATGGCCGCGTCAGGCCAATCCGAGTCCCCCGAATCCGACTGTTGCGTCTCCCCCCATCCGAGCAGATCGGAGGACCGCGCAGCATCGCCGATGCATCGGCGATGCGGCTCGGTGCGGAGCCCGATTTTCTCTGCGCCGACTGCGCCGATGCATCGCCGACGTCGCCGATGCATCGCCGATGTATCGGGGATGCATCGGCGATACGGCGCGATCCTCCGACCCCACCTGGCCCACGTGGGAGGCCTCCGAAGACGCCGAACTGCCGTGCAGTTCGTCTTCGGAAGGGGCTCGCTGTTCATCGGGTTACTGTTGTTCCAGCGCTCCTCCGACACCCGACGAACTGGTGACCCTGCCACAGGCTCGGGACATGGGGCAGGCGGTGGAGGAGGAGGAGGAGGAGGAGGAGGAAGTGGAGGAGGAGGATTGGGAGGAGGATTGGGAGGAGGATTGAGAGGAGGATTGGGAGGAGGAGGAGGAGGACGTCGTTCCTTAGTTTGCGTTCCCGATGGTAGCAGCTTGGCGGCATGTTTTCGCCCCCCTCCCTTTTAGGCGGCGCTGGCGAAGTCGGCAGCCAAGCAGGCGGACGGGGGCCCGAAGCTCTCCAACGAGTGCGTCGACCGCCCGTTCCAGACGCTCGACTTCCTGGTGCGCGACTGGAAGTACTTCAAGGTCTCGGGCGTCTTCCTCCCCCTCAGAGGATGAGAAAGGTACCCATACCGCTGCCCTTCCCTCGCTTTCCTTCGGAGCGCAACCCTGGAGAGGTCCGGGGGGCAGCGGCATCGGCATCTCTCGGCTTCCCCAGTCTTCGGATTTCTTCCTCACCGGGGGGGCGTCCTGAGACGATCCCGGCGGTCATTTCTGCATCGTGTCGGGTCCCTGGGCGCCCTCACGGCTGATGGGTCTCGAGAAATCTCGCGCAGTGATGGTGTCGACAAATCCAGCCGTATTTCTCTCGTGACGTGGTGTTCCCTCTCTCTCTCTCTCGCTCTCTCTCGTTCCTTACATTTTCTGTCCCTCTCTCTATCTATCGCTCTCCCTCTGTCTCTCTTCTCTCTGCGTCGGATCTTGGCGTCCTCCTCGCCGACCGCTCCAGGTGCTCCTCCTCCCCCCCCTCCTCCTCCTCCTCCTCCTCCTTCTCCTCCTCCTCCTCCTCCTCCTGCTCCTCCTCCTCCTCCAACAACCCGAGAGCTCGCCAGGCGGACTGGAACTTTGACCAGTGCAGGGAGCAGATGCAGCAGCACATCGACAAGTTCACCGACCCCGCGAAGGTCGTGGAGAACAGCACCGCCGAGGCGCCCTGCCCCGCGAGAAGCGAAGATCAGCAATAACAATGTCCGCCGCATCGCGTTCCCCACCCCTCCGCGGATGCGGCGCCGTGCCGGAGGAGGTGGCGCGAGGACGGCGGCCTTCCGGGAGGTGCAGCTGGCACAGCAAACAAGACCATCGGGCTGCCGGCAGGTGCCCCGCGGGATTTGTTCTGCTCCCCCGATGGCCTCAGGGGGTCCACAGAAGCTGTGAGGCCAAACGCAGGGCCCTCGAAGCTCGACGCAGACTGTGGCACAAGACTCCGTACAGAAAGTCGGGGAGACGTAAGACTCGAGTAAGCCGGAGCTCGGGCTTGCCGACGTTTTTTGACGAGCGCGTCTTGGATTTCGACAGGCCAGTTTTCGTTGGATGTCTGCAGCGGGAGCTCGCGTCAAATTTCAGATTGGGTCTCGCCATTTTTATGACGGCCCCCGTCAGGCCAACCCGAGCCCCCCGTACCCGAGAAAGGTGTGTCCTCTCCTCTGTCGCTGGTGTCGCGGGGGCTCATTCGAAGCCCTCCCTCCCGCCTCCCGGGATGCCCCGTCGGCGGCCTCTGGCGCCTCCGGGCTGCCAGGCCTCCCCCCTGCCCTTACAGTATACTTGGCATCGCTCGGACGTGTGCGTTTTGCCTTCGGCGAGGACCAGCGAGGAGCATCCTTGATAACTTGGCGAAAAACCACGCACGAAACCGGAACAAACAACAGGGAATTGACGTCCGAGCGATGGCCAGTATACCCTCCTCAGGGTGCCGCCGTTCTCGCCCTGCCCGCACACTGCGCGCCGCTAGTCGTAAGTCGGGCCTGCCCTCCTACAGGGGGCTTTTGGACGAACAATGAAAAAGACCATCAAAAATAATCAGAAATGACGAAAAATACTAGAAAGGTCGTCCCCATATTATTTTTGGACTCTTTTTGAATCTTCCTCCTGTAGAGGGACAGGCCCGACTTGACGCTAGTCCTCCTGCTGTGATCTCGCTGCGCCGGTTGTCTCTGCGCCCGGCCAGCCAGGCCCTCAACAGCATGTTCAAGCACATAGCCTGCTTCTGCCTGCCGCACCCGGGCTTCGCCATCGAGAGCGAGGACTGGTCCGGCGACGTCAAGGACCTGGACCAGGACTTTGTGCGCTTCCTGGACACCTACGTCAGGGAGGTGTTCACCAAGGCCCTCGATGTCAAGGTGATCCTGGGCCAGGAGCTGAGCACCCTGACGTTTCCGATCATCCTGCGGCAGTTCGTCGCAGCATTCCACGACACGGCCCCGCAGACGATGTCGTTCAACCAGGCGATGACCAGCGCGTCGGCGCTCCTCGCCAAGGAGCAGGCGATGACGATCTACACCAAAAAGATGGAGGAGAGCATAAAGAAAAGCAAGGCCGGCTTGAACCAGGAGGCCTTCGAGGGTGCGAATAGAGCGGCGAGGAAGCATGTGCAGGAGGAATTCAATAGCACGATGGTCTTCGGAGATTCCGACGCGAGGAAGACCACTTGGGAGGGCATAGAGGATAACCTGAAGGTTTTGCAAGAGAGGTACATTGAGGACAACAGGAGGCGGCTCGAGCAGGTGCTCGTTCCCTTCGCAAACGCCGCGCTGATCGGGGTGAGTCTTTTCCTGTTCGACCGCCTGAGTGACTTCACCTGTGACTGGTGGTTGCAGACGTGTGTAGACATGAGTAAGCTCATGCTCACGTGCTACGTCAGCATTTTCATCCAGCTGCCTGCGGCACATCCCGCCACCATGCCAGCCCAGTACCTTGGGTGGCGACTGTTCGGGTGGCGCGCAGGAGGACGTAACCTGTGACACCTCGTGTCCCGAAGCTTGGAACACGTTTGTTTTATTTCGAAGCGTGAACATGTGAGTGCGTTTGGTTTAGTTAGAACATCGGCAGGACATTGATGCTGTTGGATTCTTCGAGCCCTACTGGTCGTCCTACTGTGGCCCTCTGGGGCCATCTTGGGGGCCTCCTGGGCCGTCTTGAGGCCATGTTGGGCCGCCCTGGGGCCACCTTGGGCCGTCTTGGAGGCACCTTGGGCAATCTCGGCGGCCTTGGCTGCCCGCCTCGGCCGCCGTGGAAGCGCGGGAGGCGCGGATCAACAGCTTTTGCACGGGGGATCGTGGCATCGAGAGCGCGGACCCGTCATTCTTTGCATCAGGGATCGTGGCCTGGGCAGGGGGTTCTGTGCATGCAACAGTCTGCGAGGAGAGGGAGTCGGGCGTCGCTTAGGAGGTCGCAGAACTCCTAAAAGGCAGCACTTGGCACTGTACCACGTCGTGACGTGCCAGGTTGCACGGAGGCGGATCTACGTGTCGGTGCACGTTTATTTCATCGCTGCCGAGAGCGGGAAGGTCCAGGTCGCGCTAGCCGCTGGCGAGATGTGGAAGGAGATGATGAGGCTGGTGTCCGTGTACGGAGAAGAGGCGAAAAAGGCCAACTTCGCGGGCGTGATGGAGCTCCTGCAGAAGGCCGTGCTCGACAGCGTCCGCGGCCTGACCGGGGAGCAGGCCCGAGGCCTCGAAACAGCCTCGACCGTCGGGGCCCCCTTGGGGGGGTGCCAAGGCGTACCTCCAGAGGACCCCCACCAGCTTGGAGCAGGCCGCGCGCTGTGCGACCCTTCCACGGCGCGAGGGGCCCAGGGTCGTCTGGCTGTTCCCCCGTCGCGTGGACCTCTCCGTTGCCAGGGCTTCGAGGCAGATCGCGGCGTGGCGGGGCGGCCCCCAGCCCCTCCCCGGGGAGGCCCCGACTGGGCCAAGCGAGCAGGACGAGTATCCCATCATGCTCCCCCTCCTGCTCCTCGGCGCAGCTGGGCGGAATGGTCCAGTCCACGCCACCTGGCGCACCTCCCCCCACCCGCGACCCCTCAGAGCTAAGACCCGCCTGGCCGACGAGTCGGACGTGAAAGGGAGGGAGGCGCGATGGAGTGGGAAGAGGGCGGGTGCGCCGTCTTCACGGCCGCACGATGTGCAGCACCCTCGCCATGAGGGAAACGGGCTCTTGGGGGAAAACGGTCCCAGACCCGCGGGCTTTCCCCAGGACGCGCCCCCGCATCCCCAGGTGTTGCCTTTGGCGGCCCCGGGAGCCCAAGGAGGGACCCAGGGGCCTCGAAGACGGCGCTACATACCCATGCCCCCTTTGCTCCAGGACCCGCGCCCCTCATACCAAGCACCCCCTCCTGCCGTTGCTCCTCTGCAAGCCTTCCTCGGTCAGGAGCTCAGCAGCGCTGGTGCCCCCAAGGGCAGCAAGAAGTCCGACTGAGCTGTCCGCCCCCGGCGGCTCATGCGTGATCGCCGCGCCTCTCCGCGCCCACGCCCAGGAGGAGGGAAGAGGAGGAGGGAAGAGGAGGATGGGGAAGGATTTCGTGAAACGAGGTGCAGGGCAGCCAGGGGCGAGTTCAGATGGCCACCGCGCTGGCTGTGGCAGCACCCCTTGAGGGACGCACAGCCAGTGCCTGGGACAGCCTGTCAAGATACAGCCATCCAGTCCCAGTCACAAGACAACATTGGTTGAGGAGCTTTCCCTGGACCCTGAAATGGTGGGGGCCCAACCCACCGCGCACCTCACACGCAAGAACGCGCTCCCGCCCAGCCCAGCCCCCTTCGACATGTCGAGTCACCTCAGACAGTGCGAAGGGTATGCGACCACGCCGCGCCTTGTGGGTCCCGCAACCTTAGCGAGGGCGGATGGTCCTAGGATGAAGGGCTGTTTCGGCCAGTGAATTATGACACCTGTGCCCCGCGAGATCGGTTCTGCACAGCATTCGCGGCACCTCCCTCTATTCGAGTGCACGCTGTGGGCGGTCTCAGCGCGTGCCGCTGCGAGGCCCAGGCGAGGCGTCTCACCTCGTCCCGTCTGCGCGGCGCCTTCGGTGCGGGCCGAGGCGGGAAACAAGAAGCAGTGGTGGCCAAGATCCTGCTGCGAGTATTCCTGGCCGCTCCTTCCAGCTCCACAGCGGACTGGGCCTCCGCTGCTGGAACTGGGACAGAGGGCGAAGCGTGGTCCGCGAGTCGTGATGACCGCCGCAACCTTGCGACACGTTCGGCTGGCCGACCGCTGCTCTTCCTCCGAGAGGTGGCAGGCCACTTCGCAGACCTGCACTTCCCTCTCTCCCGGGAGGCCCCTGACTGAGTGCCAGAGGTCCCCGTGAGACTTCAAGGACCATCTACCACGGGAAAGCTTGACAAGCCCTCGGGCCACACACACACACACACGCACGCACGCACGCACACGCACACGCACACGCACACACACGCACACACACAACACAACACCAACACACCAACACACCAACACACCAACACACCAACACACCAACACACCAACACCAACACCAACACCAACACCAACACCAACACCATCACCAGCACCAACACCAACACCAACACCAACACCAACACCAACACCAGCATCAACACCAGCACCACACACACACACACACATACACATACACACATACACACATACAAACATACACACACACACACCCGCGCGCGCGCACGCACGCACGCACGCACGCACGCACGCACGCACGCGCGCGCGCACGCACGCACGCACGCACGCACGCACGCACGCACGCACGCACGCACGCACGCACGCACGCGCACACACGCACGCACGCACGCATGCACGCACGCACGCACAAAGAGCCAGTGCTGATGTAGTCAAGGTCCGAATCTCTTCGAGGGCCTGGGCCTCCCTGAGGGCCGTGCGCTCGCCTCTGTTGACGTCCTGGCGCGGTCCTGGGAGGGCTCCAGATTCCCCAGTCCTGGAGGGACTCTCTCTCATGGGCGAGGTGGGGGTCGTTCCCGTAGTCACAGGCGACCGCAGCCCATGATGTTCTCCCGAGGCCGGGGTGCTTGCTGTACCTTCCCCCCGACGCGTCCCCACCTGGCCAGATCCTGTTGCGAGGGAGATCGGGAGGAACAGTGAGGGTGCTGCTGCTGAGCGTCGGCATGCGCGTGCGCGGTGCTCGAATGCAAATCAACTCTGTATACCAACTATGAAGAAGTGAGCTGGACAGATACGACAACAAGGGATCGACTAGGAGAGCAAAGCAGGAACACTGAGGAGGGAGGAGAGAGGAGGGAGGAGGATGGGGTGGCAGGAAGAGAAGAAGGTGGAGGATGAGGTCATCAGTCTTGCCCCTGGCCCTCGAGCATCGCGCGTGTGTGTGTGTGTGCTTGTGTGTGTATGTGTGTGTGTGTGTGTGGACCTTGGGATTCTGGAGGCCTCCAGAGGTGTGTCAACACCCCGCTGGAAGCACTGCTTACGTGGCAGAGGGGGAAGCGAGGAGTATCAGGTTACCTTTAGCGTTGCTCGCAGTTCTTGGGCATCCAGTATGGCCGTCGTCGCCGCTGCTTGATGTCCGCTCCAGGTTCCAGGACGGAGCGGGCCCCGGGGAGGTCGGGGGGTCGATGGTGAACGGGACGATGAGGCAGAGGAGGAGGATGGGGGTTGGGGAGGATGCGGTGTAGGAGAGGAGAGGGGGAAGGAGCCGGAGGGAGGGAGGAGGGATGAGGAGGGAGGAGGATGAGCAGGAGGCGCAGAAAGAGCAGGCTTTGAGTGGGATCGGAGGGCAGTTCTGCCGACGCGCATCCGCTTGCAGCATGACGGGCTTAGCATTCGGTCCAGGCCATCGTGCCTGCGGCGCGAACTGGACAGTAAAAGCTCTCCCTCTTTCGCCCGCTCATGCTCCCAGGAGGAGGCGACATGCAGGAGGTGGCGAAGGAGGAGAACGCAGAGGAGGAGGAGGAGCAGGAGGAAGAGGCGGATGATGATGAGGAGGGGAACGCGGAGGAAGAGGAAGAGGAGGAGGAGGATGACAGCGAGGAGGGGGCACGTTGGCCTGGGAGCTCCACCCCCCTCATCCACCTCTCCTCTTCCCGCTCCTCTCCTCCTGCGTCTCTCTGCCTCCCATCCTCCGGTTCGACGGTCTTCACATGCTTGTCCATGGCCGAAGCGTGCCAGATTCGCATGCACCTGAAGAGGAACCCGCGGAGAGTTCTGCGCCTTCCAGCGCCCCGCGAAGCGGGCGCACCAAAACGGGAACCAAAACGGGGAGGATGAGACTCAAAACGGGGATGATGATGCTGCTGCTGATGATGCTGATGATGATGATGATGATGATGCTGATGATGATGATGATGCAGCTGCTGGTGATGATGCGGATGAAGATGATGATGATGCTGATGATGCTGACGATGATGCTGCTGATGATGATGAGGATGATGATGATGAGAGGATGGTGATGGTTATGCTGCTGCTGCTGCTGCTGATGCTGATTATGATGATGATGAGGATGATGTTGCTGATGATGATGTTGATGCTGGTGCTCCTGAGGATGAGGATGACGATGATGATGACGATGATGATCATGATGATGATGCTGCTGATGATGATGCTGCTGATGATGCTGCTGCTGCTGCTGATGATGATGATGATGATGATGATGATGATGATGATGATGATGATGATGATGATGATGATGATGATGATGATGATGATGGAGGAGGAGGAGGAGGTGGAGGAGGAGGAGGAGGAGGAGGTGGAGGAGGAGGAGGAGGAGGAGGGAGGAGGAGGAGGAGGAGGAGGAGGAGGAGGAGGAGGAGGAGGAGGAGGAGGAGGAGGAGGAGGAGGAGGAGGATGGCGGGCCACCGCGGAGGCGCCATCCGACCCGCTGCAAGCCGCCGCTGACAAAACAGCGCAGAAGGGAGGAGGGGGAGGGACGGGGAGGGGGGGGCAGGAGGGGAGGAGGAGGGAGGAGGAGGAGGAGGAGGAGGAGGAGGAGGAGGAGGAGGAGGAGGAGGAGGAGGAGGAGGTTTCGATGGTCCCTGGTCCCAGAGACGGCCCACGGATGCCGAAATCGAGGAACAACGTAAAGATGGAGCAACATCAGATCTCGGATGTCTGGGACTCGAAGAAGAAACACCGCCATAAACGTCAACTTCGGGCTCTCCGCGCGGATTTCTCGGATACGCGCTGGCCCCCCCCCGGCGGCGCCCCTGGCGGCGCCCCTGGCGCGCTCCACGCGTGCCAGAAGTTTCTGATCATGCCGTTTTTTCTTCTTCCAGGGACCCCTCCTCGTGCCATCCGACCCGCTGCACGCCGCCGCTGCAGTGGGGGAGGAGGGGGGGGGGCAGGAGGGGGATGATGATGATGATGATGATGACGATGATGATGATGATGATGATGATGATGATGATGATGATGATGATGATGATGATGATGATGATGATGATGATGATGATGATGATGATGATGATGATGATGATGATGATGATGATGATGCTGATGATGATGCTGATGATGATGATGATGATGTGATGCTGATGATGATGATGATGCTGATGATGATGATGATGATGATGATGATGATGATGATGATGATGATGATGATGATGATGATGATGATGATGATGATGATGATGATGATGATGATGATGATGATGATGATGATGATGATGATGATGATGATGATGATGATGATGATGATGATGATGATGATGATGATGATGATGAGGGGGAGGAGGAGGAGTAGGAGGAGGAGGAGGAGGAGGAGGAGGAGTTGGAGTTGGAGGAGGAGGAGGAGGAGGAGCAGGAACAGGAGGAGGAGGAGACGGAGGAGGAGGAGCACGATCAGGAGGAGGAGGAGGAGGAGGAGGAGGAGGAGGAGGAGGAGGACGAGGACGAGGACGAGCACGAGGACGAGGAGGGGATTCTGCTGGATTCTGCTGGTCTGACCTCCGAAGATGCGAAACACGCACAACGGCGGCGAAAACGAGCCTGCCACCTACCCCCAGGCCTGTCCTGGGTGCCTCCCCCCCCCCTCCCCCCCCCCACGTGGCTGGGGGGCGGTGCTCCGCTCGGAGAGAGGTCGGCCTCGCGGAGCTCGCCGCGCGGGGCTTCGGCGCGCCCCTGCCGGCGGCGCTGCCCGAGGCTGGCCTGGACACGCCCGTCGCCGCCGTCGCCGCCGTCGCCGCCGTCGCCACGGATCGTCGGTTGCCGATCGTCGTCGGTCGTCGTCACCGCCGGTCAGAGGAGGGAGAGTTACACATGCCTCTACCCTTCGCTCGTCTTCCCCTCTTTGGGCCTCCTGGGAGGCCGTCGTCGCCACCGCTGGATTCGCCTCGAAATCCTGGTCAGAATGCACCCTGGGAGAGGTCTGGGGAGTAGCGGTATGGGTACCCTTTGGTTTCCCCAGTCGGTCGTCGGTCGTGGTCGCCGTCGCCGCCGTCGCCGTCGTCGCCGTCGTCGTCGTC